ATCGGCATGCGTGCGGACATCGGTTTACGCTCTTGGAAGGGAAAATCGTGGCGACAACGGCCGCACCAGAGCCAAAGAATGTGTACAAGTGTCCACATTGTAAAGCAGAGGTCCCATCTACTACGCGAAATGGGCGCATCGACAACCGACGAAGTTGCGGACACCGATTTACTGTTGCTGCAGGCAACGTGGTGCCGAATATGCCAGCAAGTACAAGCTACGCCTACAAATGCCCCCTCTGCGAAGCAGAGGTTGAGTCAACTACGCGAGATGGGCGCATCGACAACCGACGCTCGTGTGGACACCGGTTTACTGTTGCTGCGGGTGACGTGGTAACGAGTGTACCGGCGACTACAAACTACACCTACAAATGCCCCCTCTGCGAAGCAGAGGTCGACTCGACTACGCGAGATGGGCGCATCGACAACCGACGATCGTGTGGGCACCGGTTTACTGTTGCTGCGGGCTACGTGGTAACGAGTGTGCCGGCGAGTACACGCTACACCTACAAATGCCCCGCCTGCAAAGCAGAGGTCGACTCGACTACGCGAGATGGGCGCATCGACAACCGACGAACGTGTGGGCACCGGTTTACGGTTGCTGCGGGCGACGTGGTGAAGAACGCACCGGTGAATACAAGCTACACCTACAAATGCCCCTTCTGCCAAGCAGAGGTTGAGTCAACTACGCGGGATGGGCGCATCGACAACCGACGAACTTGTGGACACCAGTTTACGGTTGCTGCGGGCGACGTGGTGAAGAATGCCCCGGTGAATACAAGCTACACCTACAAATGCCCACATTGCACAGCAGAGGTTGAGTCAACTACGCGAGATGGGCGCATCGACAACCGACGAACTTGTGGACACCGGTTTACTGTTGCTGCGGGTGACGTGGTGAAGGATGCACCAGTGAATACAAGCTACACCTATAAATGCCCACATTGCAGAGCAGAGGTTGAGTCAACTACGCGAGATGGGCGCATCGACAACCGACGAACTTGTGGACACCGGTTTACTGTTGCTGCGGGCGACGTGGTAGCGCATGAGCCGGCGAGTACAAGCTACACTTACAAATGCCCGCATTGCAAAGCAAAGATCGAATCGACTGTGCGAAATGGACACATCGACAACCGACGGAAATGTGGACACCGGTTTACGGTTGCAGCAGGCAAGGTGAAGAAATGATGGAAGTTTGAGCCTGCCCTCAAGCCTTCGGGCGCTGAAGACGGTGAGGGCGGTGTGGGAAACCGTAAGGGCAGTCGGGGCAGTGGGGGCAGTGGGGGCGGTGGGGGTGGTGTGGGCGGCAGACAGCGGTGTGGGCGGTGGGCGGTGAGGGCAGTGAGAGCAGTGAGGGCACGCTGCAAGCGGTAGGGACGGTGAGGGCAGTGGAAGCGGTGAGGGCAGTGAGGGCGGCGGGGATCCAGCGCCCCTGCCATGAAAAGCCATGTTTTACAAACTCCAGTGCAACACGTGGCTCGAGCGTGAGTCAGCTTTGGTTGCAGACTGTACAGGTGCAGTGCTCTCGCTCGTGCACAGAGTAGTGACGGGCTGAAGACCTGCTTGTCTGTACCTGTACAGTCTGCAACCAAAGCTGATTCACGCTCCAGCGACATGTCGCACTGGAGCCTGTGAAACATTGCTTTTCATGGCAGAGGCGCTGGACGGGGGTGGGCCGGTGGGGACGGTAGGGGCGGTGAGGGCGGTCAGGGCGGTGGGGGTGGTGAAGGCAGCGGGGGTTGGGTAGGCACTGGACGCACTGGTGCGGTGGGGGCAGTGAGGGCAGTGCTGGAGCCTCCTAAAACTTGCTTTTCATGACAGGGCGCTGGGCAGGGGTGCGGTGGGGGCATGAGGGCAGTGGGGGCGGTGGGCGGTGGGGGCAGTGAGGGCGGTGGGGGCGGTGGGGGGCGGTGGGGCGGTGAGCAGTGAGGGCGGTTG